TGCCGCTGCCGTGCTTGGGGATGAAGATCTTACAGAGTCCCAGAGTCTCCAGACACTGGTCTGTGCTCTCACCTTGGAGTTTTGTCTCGGATAAAACACAGTGTTAGTTTGTATGGCCCTACAGGAAGCCCGTCTTTTTCCCTGGCTCATCACAGAACTGGAGAGCAATGCAATTTAGCTACAACCACACTTGGTTTTCAGTCTTACATCCTAACTTAATGAAGAGTAAGGTGAAAAATATACCTGGCTGCAGAGAAGGGACTGTTGCTTGTCCCTGGCAGCCCCCTGCCTGCCGCCGCACCGCAGCCCCTTGTGTGACCTCGGCACCAGCTCTGCCCGCGCAGGAGCGCCCTGCCTGACCGTCGCCCAGCCCCAAGGGTGCCCCAGGGTGAGTTCACCCCTTGCATTGACCCCCACACCATGGCACTGCCCTGTGCTGGGCTCCCTTTGCTGACACCGTCCGGAGCAGCCCAGCCCCTTCTCACCCCCCTGGCAGTGACCCCCAGTGGGATGCTCAGGGAGCCTTTTGCTGCTCCTCCTCAGCGAGAGCAAGGTGCCAGAGCAGCGATGGGAGCAGACAACGGGGAAAGCCCATGTGCTCGGTTTGCAAAGCACCCTCAAGTTTGGCCCACACACTCCCACCTTGAGAACCACCCCACAGACACTAACCTGCGCTTGGTGCGGGCTGGGTGCTGCAGGCAGGGTCGTCATAGCAACTCTGCCAAACTCCTGCGCAAAGGGTCATGGGAACGTGGCCGAGAGAGCTGCGGAGAGCTGGAGGACCAAGCGTCTGCTGGCAGAGAGGGATGCTGGTGGGACACATGCCCCAGGGTGGGCACGAGGGGTGGAGCTGGAGCTGGGCTCCTCCGTGGAGCCGCTGAGCACACACCACTCTGTGGAGCCACGTGTCTTCCAGTTAAGGATTACCCAGCAGAATATAAAATGCACAGCAGCAGAAGCCTGGAAATGAAAGAAATTATTACAGTACCAATGGGTAACAAATACATCAGCCTTGCAAATGTCAGAAGGGGAAACCCCTTGAAAATGCACATCAGAGGTCTTAAAAAAGAAATCTGAATAAACCTGACACTAATTCCCTCACCCATTAAATTTCTTCCGCAGCCACAGCAAGCTGGGATTGCCATTATGGCCTTGTGGGTGTCTGTAATAATCTTCCCTAATGGGTACTCAACCGTGCACATTTCAAGTATAAAACCAAAGTACTCGTATCACTCCCATGAGCCAAATGCATCTGTATATCCTCATCCTTTCACCACATTTTTCATGCACAACACTGCAGGCTGGATGATAAATATTTCAAGGTAGGTGGGGAACCTTGGGCTGAAACAAAGCCCCTGAGCCCCCGCCTCTACGGAGGTGAGATACAGCTCGGTCTTCCCTGACATGAAGGATCTTTGGTGTTTGTAGCATTGAAGGCGGCTTAATGCTGTGTTCGTGCTCAGGTAGGACAGAGGGTGTGAGGGGATGGAGGCTACTGGGGCAATGTGTGATTTTTGACCGCAAGCAGGGAAGGATCTTTCAGATTTGATGTTGAGTAACAGGGAATATAGCAAATAGCGACACTGTAAGGCTGTTCCACCCAGGACTGCCTCTGCTGCGGTCAGTATGGGCAGGGGAGGAAAAAGGCTCCTCCTTGGACTTATTCCAAGCATGAGTGTGACTGAAGGCAAATATTCCATTTCCCATGACACACCTGAGGGTCACAGAGCAGGAGGAGGCAACACCCCTGCCTGCAAAATCGAGTGGAGACAGCAAATGGACTGAAGGGAGGGAAGAGGTGGTCCACAACAAGCATGCAAGGTGGCTCTGCAACTCCCTAAATCCAGGGATGTACGAAAGGTGGAACTTAAAGACTCTCCTTTAAGCAGGAAAACTATGGAAGTTGACCAAGTTAGGAAATACTTATACAAGAGAAAATATTTCCTGTTATTAAAAATGAGATGGAGATGGTTCAGGAAGGATTTATTCACACTCCTCCATGTGACATGTGCTGGTTTTGGGCAGAGCCTGAGAATTATCGAAGACAATCGTTCCTGTGTTTTACCGTGGCCAGTTGTACGGGGCTAGAGTGGAGAACAGGGGTTTGTGGAGGAAATGAGAGAAACCCATGAGGGAGAAGCAAAAATGCTTACTGCAGCCCAAAAACTACAGCCTTAAATTACCACCAGAAATAGCCCCTTCTGGAAAAGTATGAATTATTTTGAGTATTTCAGCCACTATATTGCACTGTGTTGAACTGAGAATTTGTCTATTAAAATAATTAGCCAATTATTTCAGACCATTAACCATTTCACTTGTTTATTTTTAAATAGCACAGGCTGTCTGAGGCTTTTGAACTGCAAGTCCAAACTATGCACCACCTAACCACAGCTTTTGCTAACCACAAGTTATATACATACTTGAAACTCAATATATATTTGAAAGCATTTTAGATGCAACAAAGACTTCAAAATGATTA